CAGTCCTACTTCCGTAGTGATACTGCCTCAGAAACCCAAGGAGGGGTCGCTATGAGTCGGGGCCGACTTGACGGCACATAACAACAACAACAAGTGCTAGAAGAGGAGTCTCTTAGATTGGAAGACACTAATGGCTGCAACAAATAGAGTCAAATATACCAACAAACTGGGCAGCATTTTGCTCTGTTATACATAAGGGCATTATGAGTCGGAGCCTACTCACAGCAACTAACATCATCTCCTAGCAATGTGCATGATGGACTAGAAGAGAAGGATTAGGGAAGAGTCTGGAAGGGGAACCATTGTGGCTTTGCTCAGTCACTCAACTAAAACCTCTTATCACCTTCTGAGTATTTCACACCCTACTAGGTCCTCGGGACACAAGGATGAGTGAAACCCCGTGCCTATCACCAAGCTGATAGCCCTGGGAATAAAAAGAAAGGGGAGATTTTGAAAGTGTTTAAAAAGGAAAATGTAACAGGATCTGAGTGATTGAAAGTGAGGGCTGAAGAAAGGAAATGCAGAAAAAGCTAAACTCTAACTGTGACTATTGGGACTGGGGAATCGTGTAGCATGGATAGAAACTGCAGAGTGGGGAGGGAGAGTTGAGTGTTGGTAGGAAGACTTCAGTTGTGGATAGGTTGAACCATCTTGCTGTATCTGAGTGGAGAGACTAAGAAGGTAAAGAGGGTTGTAAAAGTAGAGTCGCAGTGAGTAGTCCAGGTTGGACTATGATTTGAAACTCAGGAAATTATTGTTCTTCAAGGCAAGAGTTGAAACTGTATGTTAGGATAGACAAGTTAGTAGAGCCAAGGATGGAAGAATAACTGCTGCAATTACTTGAGGGTAGTGGGTAGATGCAGACAAAGCGGCTGCGAAGATGACACAAGGACAGAGATGGTCACAGATGGATGGATGGAGGGTTGTGACGCTACATGTCATAGAAGGTAAAGGAAGAGAGTTTGGAGGATTTAAAAAGAGGATTAAGCAAGGAGTCCGGGAGTACAATGTGACTCCTATGAATTAAATTCAGGAAACCTAGCCTCTTCATTTGAAGAAGAGAGATAAGGGTTGATGAACTGTTAAGAGATGGGTTCTGGAGCCAGACAGACACTGATGTAAATGCTGCCTGCTAGCTTCATCACCTTGGGCAGTTAACTAGTGTGAGCTTCAATTTCCTCATTAGTAAATGAGAGGATAACAGTAATACCTAAAAAATTGATTTGCTGTGAAGACTAAATTAGATAAAACAGTGAAAACTTTTCCTCAGTGTCTGGCACATGGTAAGTGCTCTCAAACATTTTTGGCTATTATCATGAGTAGTGTTAGGCTCTGTGACTGGGCATGTGATTTTTAGCTTCTCAAATGTGAGATTACTGGAAGCCATGGAATAGATTTCTGGAGAAATCTTCTCAAATTGAGAATACTCCCTTCATTGTCCATGATGAATCGGGAGCAGGAAGATGGACTAATTTATTTCTAAGGGACACTTTCATACCAAAAATTATGATGATATTCTTAGGATCATAACTGTTTCTATAACATTGCATTTGCTTATAGCAGTTTTTGCTTTCAAGACATTGACTACCCTTATCTATGTACATTTAATTAGGCTTTTACAGAGTTCGGAGTTCTGTGTTAGATACCATAGAGGAAACACAAGAGAAAGAGGACACGCAAAATATACTCCTGGGAAGGTTATAGTCTGCATTGGGGGCAGATGGGATGAGGTGGGGGACGAGTACAAGTGAAAAATACTTAAGAACATATGAAAGCAACATGGGAACAAGTGTGAAGTATTAGTTCAGGCTGAAGCTCTAAGTCCTGAAAGGACTCAGAGCAGAAGATTGATCTGGGTCAGGTGGAATCAATTAGGGAAAGTGCCTTGCTGCATTCCTTTGTATTGGTTTATCTCTAGGGTTTAATTCCCTGGTTTGTGGTGGAGCTGGGTCCCCGTATTATAGTCTCTGGTTTACAGTGTTATCCCCGAACCTCCCTGGGAGCAGGAGTAACCCTCTGGTTTCCTGTACATTCATCAACTGAGCTTTCCAGCCTTATTTTCTATCACCAAACCTATCATCATCAAAAAATCTATCATCAAAAAAATCTATCATAAAAAATGCTGTTTTTTTTTTTTTTCCCTTTGTGCTCAGACTCAAACCACTGTTGACTTGGATTGTTATTCCGCTATGGAATCTTACCTGCCATTGAAGGCCCACTCATTCCATAGAGTCATTTCTTACCTCCCAAGCTAGAACTAACCTCTTGTAGTCTGGGCTTTCACAGGACTCTGTCCATCATTTCTCATCTGACCACATTTTCCTTGAATTATAGTTAACAATAGAATGTGTCTTTTTCCCACACTGGATTGCAAGTGAATTGAGGAGAAGAATCCTGTTTTTTCATTATGGTATCCCCATTGGTGAATATTCAACACACAACTTGTTAAATTGAACTGACTTGAACCTTTCCTCCAGGGAAGTCCTTAGGCTGACAGTCACTACTTAGCTGAAATTGTTCAAAATCACTCACCCATGCAGGAGCAAAACAAGGTGGGGCCCCCACTCCCCAGAACCACTTCCTGCTCTGCCCAGAGTGAGTGTGCCAGTCACAGGGTGGCCTAATCCCTAGAGCTGCCTTGCCACCTGGCATAATAATAAGGAGAAGCTTATTACCATGGATAGATGTGACTTAAAAGATTTTTCTGGAAAGGCATATCCTGAGCTGCTCAGAGGCTGCAGAACAAGCAGCCATCTATTTGTGTACACTCATCTTCATACTATTTCCTCAGTTTAGCCAATCTGAAGAGCAGGACTTCTTTTTCCCTGCTGCCAGTAGTGACCCTCTGATAGGAATTAAGTCACTTACCAGGGAGTAGAATAGTCAACTCAGTTGAAAGAAAAAGAAAAAGAAAAAAAAAAAAAAGATTTTTGGCTGGCTTCATTACTTGGTAAGACAAGACCAGCCTGTGGCCCCACTCCAGCACTTTTCTCACCCCTTTTTTTCACTGGGCTTTGTTTGTGTGTACCGGCATCTTACATTGCCTGGGCATGGTGAGAAAGCTGTTGTGGAAGCCTTCTAAGCCCCTGGCCCCTTGTTAGTGTCGCACTGCCCCCTGCTCATGCTGTTTGGGGCAGATGTTGGGTAGCTTTGGCCAAATCCTGCTCTGAGGTCATCTGCTTTGTCTTGCAGTACATATTTGCAGATGCGTATGCCCAATATCTTTGGATCACGTTTGACTTCTGCAACACTATCCAAGGCTTTTCCATCCCATTCCGAGCAGCTGATCTCCTCCTCCACAGCAAGGCCTCGAACCTTCTCCTGGGATTTGACAGGTCTCACCCCAACAAACAGGTAAGAGAGCTTGCTGGAACAGGGTTGTGTGGGGCACCTCCAGTTTTCTGCTGTGCTTGTGTGGATTGCATGTCCTTTGAGTGACCTCCCCTCAGCCCCTCCCTCCCTTTCTCTCTGGCTCAGCCTTTGTAGCTACTATATCACTTAACTATGGCTGAGAAAAATATATCCACTTGGCACTCCTGAGTCTGCATCTAAGCCAGGAATCAACACCTAGAACTTGGCAGGCTTGTTGGTTAAACATCCTGACCTGCTAAATGCAGATACACCTTTGTTGGCCATTGGGGTAAACTGAGGCCCTGGAATTTAATCAGCAGGAGCTAGGTGGAAATGGCTGGCATCTGAACTTTGAAATGTCCTTTCAGCTTTCTGTTCTACTTTCTCAATTCTCCACCTTAAGCATGCTGCTTCAGCCTCAGTTTGTTTGATATTACCATTAACTTTAATATTCTGCCTTTGTGTGTGTGAGTGACAGAAATGTGGGTATTTTCCTCCATTATCCCAGATGAAAAGGAAAGGTTAATGATAAGGAGAGAACCTGAGTGGGTTTTGTACCCCAAGGCTGAAATTTGCTGAGTCAAGAATACTGATCTGGCATAGATCTATGAAACCTGCAGATCCTGTATGTTTGGCTCTATGAGTTTTGAATGTGTTTCACTCAATGGAACCTTAGAATATTTCTTTTTCTTTTCAGGCTGCTTAACCAAAATATGATCTGTTTATCTTTGCTTGCCTTAGGGAGTAAGCTAAGTCTGGCTGGATCAGTTTTTCAGTGTAGGTAGATGAGTATTAAGTTTGGTCTTATGCCTCTTAGCACATGGTTGCTAGAGCCAGAGGAAGGAGTGCCAAGGTGCATTTAACCTGCTCAGCTGCTCACTGAAAGGTTGGAGATTTGAATCCGCCCAAAGGCAGCTTGGAAGAAAGACCTAGTGATTTACTTCTGAAAATCAGCCATTGAAACTGTGCCTATGGAGCACAGTTGTACTCTGACACACACGGGGCCACCATGAGTCAGGATTGACTTGTGACAGCAACTGATTAAGGCTAGGTTATGTTTTCAAAAGACTTTGGCAAAGATGAATAAATTAATTGCTCATATTCAGATGGTTCCCTTTGGTAGCCTTTGACTCTGTACTTAGTCTTTTCAATTCCACTTTAATCACCATGGCCCATTATGGGCTTTTAAGGACACTATATCCCAAGCAAAAAGTACCAAGTATAATCCTTTTGCTCTCACTACCACTTAGAGCTGGGAGCTCTGATAGCATAGTACCTTAAGCACATGACTGCTAACCAGAAAGCTGGCAGTTCAAACCAACCAGCCACTCCTCGGAAGGAAGGGTGGGCAAGTAGTGATACCACCTAGGAAACCCAAAGAGGGGTCACTATGAGTCGGGTCTGACTTGACAGCACATAACAACAACAACAACAACAACCACTTAGAGCTAGTGTTGAGTCAAGTATGATTTCTGATAAATGAGAGACAAGCCACATCATTTTTCTTTCAAGTTGGTATCAAGAGCCTTAGTAACTATGGAGAAGAATGCAACGATAGAGATTTATCCTTCCTTCCCTGCTCGTGTTTGCTTTTGGAGTAACTGAGCTGGTTTGGTGATCTTGGTTTCTGTTTTCACAGACAACATGTTATATAAGGTGGACTTCCATAGCTATTTGATTGAGATGTGATTCAGGTTGCACACTTCTCTTATGTCACTCCCACTTGTTGCTTTGATCTTTGCAGCTGTGGAAATCAGATGATTTTGGCCAGACCTGGATTATGATTCAGGAACACGTGAAGTCATTTTCTTGGTAAGTTGTGCCATCTCCTTTTCTCTGGTTCTGAAGGAGACTTCACTGGGGACAAACTTTGCCCTTACCTGACAGGTTAAACATTTGGTTTGAAATAGGAATTTTCCAGTTCAAGGAGTTAGAGCTTCAAGTATAACAGACCCATGAGGGGGTTTGAGAAAGAAGGGCTATTGGTGAGAGAGTGAAAGGAGCTCTGGTGGCATAGTGCCCAAGGCATTTGACTGCTAACTAGGAGGTTGATGGTTCAAATCTACCAACCACTCCGCAGAAGGAAGACTGGGCAATCTACTTCTGTAAAGATTTACCACCTTGGAAACCCAAAGGGGGTCGCTTTGAGTCAAAATCGACTCGATGGCATTGAGTTTGATTTTTTTGGTTTTGATAGAGCTTTTGCATTTTTCAGTCCATCAGGGATCTTGAAGCTCTTGAATGAATTAAACTTTTACTATTTCTATAGTATTATATCAGAAATGGAGATTTTTCTCTATATAAAATTCTTTCATTTATTCATTCATTCAATATATATATTTCAATATCTGTGAACATAAAACATGGTGATAGTTTAGGGCATAAGAAGTTCAATAAGGCATGGATGTAGTCATTGGGGAGATAACAGTTTAGGAGGTAAGAAAAGACATGTAAATGACACACATAAAAGTAGCACCGAAGTAAAAGATACAATTCAGAAAGCCACAGGAGGGACTACTCTTTTCAAATGGTAAGATCATAGACAGCTTCTTAGAGAAGGTTGCTGTTGATCAGGATGTGTACAACAGGTAGGATATACAGTGCAGAGGTGTGGGAGGAAGGAATTGTAGGCAGAGGAACAAAATGACTGAAGGCTCAGAGATGAGATGTGGTGTTGGGGAGGAGAACACTAAGTCTTATTTTTGGACAACATTGAGTAAAGTTTGGAAAGGGAAGTTGGCACCAGAATCTGTAGTGCTTAATAAAGGAATTTGGACTGAATTTTGAAGGCAGTGGGGAGACATTGTAGGTGTTTGAGAAGGGGAGTAAAAAAACAGGGCTGTGCTTCCGGAGATGCAGTAGTTTCTAGTCACAGTTGTTTCTGAACTTTTGCTGTTACTATGATACAGTATATAATCTGGAATACATGTGCAGATTTGTACATGTGCAGGTGAATGCATAGGATAAATTCCCAAGAATGGGATTGCTGGGTCAGTTGGTATTTCTAACTGTTCACTTGACCTTTCCACGTGGATGACTTAAGAGATGTCACATACTTGATTCCTCCTCTACTTCTACCCATAATCTTCCTCAATTTAGTTAATGAAAAACCCATTTTTCTAATAGCTGAGTCCAAAAATTTGGGAGTCATCATTGATCCCAGCTTTGTTTCATGCTTCAGAATATATCTATAAATTACTACTCAGCTACCACTTTACTCCAAGCTGTCATCGCCAATCCTTAATATCCCAACTAGTTTTTCTGCTTTTATTCTTGTCTTTCTTCTGTCTTTTCTCCGAACACAGCCAGATTGATCCTGTTAAAAACAAGTCAGATCATGTCACTTCTTAGCTCGGGACCACTAGTGCATCATTGTGCCTTTCAGAATAAATGGTAGACATATTACTACCACAGGGCCTTTGAACTTGCTATTCCCTTTGCCTGGAATGTACTTACCATATGTAGTCAATTCTCATTATTAGTGAGAATTATTTATGTTCTATAAAGTTCCTGCAAACAGTGAATTAACAAATACTGCACAACTGCTACTAAGAGGAAAAACAAAGTTCAGTTCCTAGGAACCAATACATGTGACACATATTAAACATAATGTGTGATACATATAAACACAATTAACTGTGTTTTTTTAAAGACACCTTGTTTAATATATATTGTTGACTCATTATTGTTGAATTTATGGCAACAGAACCATAACTCATGCCTGAGGAAGCTTTTCTAACACATGTATTTTCCTAGTAAGGCACATTACAGCCTCCTTTTTTTTTTTTTTAATTGTGATTTGGGTGAAAATTTACAGAGCAAATTGACTTTCCATACAGCAGTTCACATAAACTTTTTTTTTCAATTGTGATTTGAGTGAAAATTTACAGAGCAAATTCATTTTCAATACAGCAGTTCACATACACTTTGTCTCATGACATTGACTACAATTTACCACAATGCAACAGCACCCCTCCCACTTCCTCCCGATAGTTACCTCTTCCCAGTGTCCATCCCTCCATGCACTTCTGCCCCCTGAGATGTCTCCCTGTGCATAAACAGCCCTTCTTTCTCTCATGATTGTTCTCTCCAAGGAGTGTATCTACCTCAGGTAAATGTTCAGCTCATTTGCCTGTCTTTTGTTTGGCTGGAAGCCACAGGTGTGGGTTCAATTCTGGATCTGGAGGGCAGGTAGGCACCATAGTCTCAGTGGTTCCACCAGATGCTATCAGATCAGCAAACCTGGTTCCCCCCCCCTTTTTTTTTTCTCCAAATGATTTTGAGTTTTGTTCCACATTGTTCTCCCTCTCTATCCAGGATCTCCTGCATAGATCCCCCTCCAAGTGGTTGACAGTGGTATCCAGGCACCATCTAGTTCTTCTGGTCCCATAGTCTTATAGGCTGAGGATCTCATGGTGTACCAGTTGCCAGGACTAATTGTTTCCATGAATGTTTGGTTTTCTTCATTCTTCTTTGTTCTGGATGAGGAGAAACCCATCATTGCCTCTAGATGGCTGCTTGCACGCTTTTAAGATCTCATTCACTACTCACCGAAGTAGGACATAGAACAATGTTTTGTGTAGTATGTTGTGCCAATTGAGTTGCTGTCCCATGTGATAATGGTCCCGAGCCTGCCGGTTCAACTACTCACTCCCTGAGGGTAGCTGGCTGTGGCCAAGAAGTGACTACAACCTTGCCCCTTGTCAGCTCTACTATACATCTGGGAATTCTTACAGATCATACAAATACCCTTATAGGACCATTGTCTGCCAACCCTATATATGGTATTGGGTACACTCCCTGCTTCATAGACATACCTAATAGTTCAGCCTGTCCACCCATCTATCCATCCATATACCCATGTTTGCCTTCACTGACAACGTAGTACTGTGTGTGCAAAAGGGTTCATCTTTGTTGTTTGCGCCTCCCATGTACCTCTCTGTCTTCCTCTTCCTCAATGCCACCATGTTGATCACTCACATTTGGTACATTGCCCTTCTCTTCATCTAAGTCAGTACTTGTCTCTAACTATCCAACAATGTTCCCTCCCCTCCCCTTCCATCCCTGGTAACCAACAAAGAAAATTTCCTTCCATAGATAAACCTTTCCTTGATTTTTACAATAACGGACTAATACAATATTTGTCCTTCTGTGATTGACTTATTTCACTCAGCATAATGTCCTCCAAGTTCATCCATGTTATGCAGTGTTTTGCAGATTCTATGTTATTCTTTAGGGTTGCATAGTATTCCATTGTGTGTATGTACCATAGTTTGGTTATCCATTCCTCAGATGATGGACACCTAGGTTGTTTCCATATTTTGGCTATTGTAAATAGTGCTACGATGAACATGGGAGTGCATGTGTCTGTTCTTGTCATGGCTCTCAATATCCTACTTCTTTAGGATATATACCTAGTAATGGAATAGCTGCCTCGGAAACCCAAGGAGGGGTCGCTATGAGTCTGGTCCGACTCGATGGCACACAACAACAACAACAAAACAAATGGAATGGCTGGGTCAAATGGTATTTCTAATTCCAACTTTTTAAGGAATAGCCATACTGCTTTCCACAGTGGTTGTACCATCTTACAGTGCCACCAGCAGTGCATGAGAGTCCCAATCTCTCCATATCCTTGCCAGCATTTATTATTTTCTGTCATGCTGAACTTTGCTACTAGTGTTGGGGCAACATGGTATCTCATTGTTTTTTTGATTTGCATCTCTCTAATGACTAATGATTGTGAGTGTTTCTTCATATGTTTGTTGGCTGCCTGAATATCCTCCTCGGTGAAGTATCTATTCATGTCTTTTGCCCATTTTTTAATTGGATTATTTGTCTTTTTGTTATTGAGGTGTTGGAGTTTTCTTTAAATTTTAGAGATAAATCCCTTGTCAGATATGTCATTGCCAATTATTTTTTCCCAACCTGTAGGTTCTCTTTTGACTCTTTTGGAGAAGTCTTTGGAAACACATAAAAATTGAATTTTTAGAAGGTCCCATTCATCTAGTTTCTCTTCTGCTGTTTGTACATTTTGGGTTATGCTTGATAGTCTATTTATGCCATATAATAGGGCCCCGAAATTTGCCCCTAGTTTTTCCTTGAGGAACTTTATACTTTTAGGTTTCACATTTAAGTCTTTGATCCATCTGGAGTTATTTTTTGTGTGTGGTGTGAGGTACAGATCTTGTTAAGTTTTTCTGCAAATGGATCTCCAGTTTTGCCAGCACCATTTATTAAACAAACATTCTCTTCCCCATTTAATGGATTTTGGCCCTTTGTCAAATATCAGCTGGCCATAGGTTGATGGAGCTATTTCTGGGTTCTCAATTCTATTCCATTGGTCTATGTGTCTGTCATCTTACCAATACTAGGCAATTTTGGCT